GTTCGTTAACTTTTTCTATCCCATTCTTTTTCTTTTTGTTCAAATTTTTTTGTTTCTTTTGTTCGAATTTTTTCAAACTTTACCCCTAATTTTCGAAAAATTTCGTGAGTATCAAAAAAAAAAAAAGTGTCATCTAGTCTTTTATTATTTTTTCCTCCCCCAGATTCGAATTTTGTTCGAATTTTCTTCTTTTATTTTTGATTTTTTTAGAGTCTTAAAAAAAAAAGTGAGTCATGACTAATCGTGAGAGATTCGATGCACTTGAAGAAAGCGTGAGGTCCCTTGGCAACGGACAACACGTGGTCAATGAAAACATGGAAAAGTTGGAGCTTATGATACACGACTTGGCGGGACAGCTCGAGAGAGTCAACCACCATTCGCGGAGGAGCCGCACATCAAGATCAACCTTGGCGGGAACAGGCAGTTCACGTCTAGTCGCGATGACGACGATGAACGGTCGCGGGGAACGCGCGCGACTCGCACTACCCGACACCACGGCGATCGCAGGACGCACGGCCATCGGCATCATCGCGAGGAGCACGTACGTGCGAAGCCGAAGATTACGATGCCGACGTTCGAAGGAACAAATCCGGATGCATGGTTAAGTCATGCCATGCAATTTTTCGAGATCAATGAGGTACACAAGTCTGAAAGAGTTTAAATTGCTGCCTACTACTTGGATGGTGAAGCCAACACATGGTGGCAATGTGTGTCACATGTTTACAAGAATAAAGGCGAGCAAATCATATGGCGAGACTTTGAGAAGGAGCTGATTGCCAGGTTTGGATCTAGTGATTATTTTGATTATGATGAGGCATTGACAAGGATCCGCCAAACCAGTAGTCTACGCGACTATCAAAAGGAGTTTGAGAGGATAACAAGCCGGGTACGCGACTGGCCCGAGAGTGCACTGGTTGGTGCATTTGTTGGAGGTTTGAAGGCTGAGTTGGCTGCGGAGGTACGAGTGGACAGGTCAAGGTCAACAAGGGCCGCGATGGAAGCAGCACGACTGCATGAGGATCATCTCGCGCAGTGCGCAGGGCCAGACCGAGCAAGGGGCGCACGGACGTTCGGCGCACGAGCGTCGCGGTCGATGATACGCCCCCATGGGCCGAGATCAAACCAACAGTCGGCGAAGGTACACGCACCACAAGCAACTTCAGACGGCTGGCGGATGATGAGATGAAAAGGCGAAGAGAGAAAGGCTTGTGCTTTACTTGCAACAAGAAATTTGTGCCAGGCCACAAGTGCAAGGGTAAGGAAATTTTTCTGTTGGAAATTGAGGAGGAACGAGAGGAATAAAAGCCACAGGAAGAATCCTGGCTGCATATGGTTAAGTGCAATAAGCGTGGTCCCAGGATGATCCGATTCACGGCTGAGATAAAGGATATATTGCTAGAGGTACTAGTGGATAGTGGGTCGAGTTTAAATTTTATTGACGAAGGGATAGCCCGGAAGCTAAAATTGGTACCCACAAAAGTTAAGAAGTTTGGTGTCAAGGTGGCCAATGGACATGAGCTGCAAGGTAGTCAGTTATTCAAGAAGGTCCCGATAATGGCACAAGGTCACGAGCTGGAAATTGATCTTTACGCCTTACCGCTTAAGGCAACAGATATTGTGTTAGGAGTACAGTGGCTCGAAACACTTGGGCCCATTACGACTGACTACAAGCAAGGAAAGAT